GAAGTAGAAGACACTTCCATTGCCGTAGTACCTGGGATTATTGTCCTTGCACTTTCTGTGTATAACGCTATTGTGTTGTTCGTGGTTGTCTCTCGCGTCATTGATTTCGTGTTGAAGTTTAAGGCAGTTTTTTTCAGTCCCAATTTCGTGAAATGACATTGCGTATTTCTTCAGTCCAAACTTAAGTTTTTTGTAGTGAATTTAAACGCACTCTGTGTTAAGCTAGACTTACTGAAAGTCCACGATGGTGTAGTAGAAAATCATTCTTGATTAAAAAAAACCAACATTATTTCTGTACCGAGGCCGTTTACATACGCGCGAATCATATGGCAGAGGGGAAATAACTCTTATATTAAAAATCGAAGTGTTACATGATGTTTATAGAAGAGAAGACAACTGCAACCAAACCTTCAATATTACATCGTGTGTTATTTAAAACTCTGTGGCGTATTTTGGTTCCAGCAGGCTTTATGCGAGCTACCGATATTTATTACGTCAGCCCTTACAACACAAGCATCAAGTTCAAAAACATCATATCAAGTTCACAAGTTCAACTTCACAATTTCAAAAGTTTAGGTTCACACATGTCAAAGTTCAACAGTTCAAGTTCATCAGTTCACGATTCATTTCCTGTATGGGAATGTTTCTTTCATAGATTATTTGTCCCTGGGAACAGCGGACAAATAGGTAACACGTAGTCTAAAGGTATTGTTATGATTGTACGCTGCGCGTGAAACGCCCTAACATTATTGACGTGCCGGAAGCTGTCTTCAGCGGAAGTGCTTCGTCCGCCTGGTAGAGAAGCACCACATCTGAATCTTACAATAAGAGAACTGGGCGCAGTACGCTTTCAATAATCAAAACATAAAGGTGTGGTGGATAGGTCACAATTTCTTTCCACCATCCTATTTAACCACCAGTTATTCACACACAGACACGTCCGGGTGAGTTCTCCTACTTTGTTCTTGAGAGCATGTTATTTTACTTACCATACATGATTAAAATGTTACACTACAAGTGGAGAGTTATACCTGTCAATGATTTCATCAGGTGAGAAAAACGTCACAGCAGAAAAATGCGAAAGGTGTTTATACATATAAAGCCAAAAGTAAAAGGAAACAAATTTAACATGAAATCTAAACATCGAAGCTGAATTATAAGTATAAATAAGTAATAATGCTTTAATTGGATGACTTTTTATAATGATTTTTCTGTCATATGGTGGATGACTTCGTCTTTAACAAAATCTGCTTTTGTATATGTTTTATAGCTAAAAAATTAAATAAATCAAAATATGTACAAGGGTAAAACTTCTAATCACTAATTTTCGAATTAAATGTTCAATATATCCGGCAAGTTGCTTTATCATATTTATCTATATAAGGGAAAAGAATGTTAATAGTTCAATATTCTTTACTAATGTTTATCTGTATTTATCTCAATAAAGTTGATTTTCTAACTAAAAACTTGATGTCTCGTGGTTTTGGGGGAGATTTCGATTTCAGACATCATTCGTGGGGGTGTGGTCAGAGATAAATCCTTTATACAAATACGTTCAAAAATGTAGAAATATGTACGAAATATACTGTGACTGTATTAGTGTTACATAAGCTTAATCTGTTGTTGTAGATCAGAAATGTATGTGTCATATACGTCTCTGTGTACACGCATGGCTACACTCAAATCATTAGAATACAAATCTGTGCATATTCAATTAATGTGCATATTTTTCATTTTTAAAATACACGATACAATTAAAAATATAGGACGAATGAATTAGATATAAACTGAATTTATTATGCAACTATCATTAAGGACATACAAATTTAGGTCAAATATAACGTGCGTATCTGACAAACATTGTATTTTATTTATCTGTTATATTAATTCATTTGGTAGCTAATTAATAGCTATGTCTTCTCATTGTTAAACTATAACGAATTGTGAGTAATCAGTACACTGATAATGAGACAGGTTTGAGTAAATATCATTTACCTGTCAGACCATCACCGGTATACGCTAGCATATTTGTCACGTGGGGTAATTAGCTAAGTCGGACATGCCGTTTAGAGAAGCTCACGACCTCGGGTATTGACACCTTCTTACAATTCGGTAACCGGAATGTTTGGTTTGCCTTATTATTGGTCTATTCTTGGAGAGACCCTACTGATTTCTGAGTGAGCTGTTTGTAAAAGCCTACGGGGGTTGAGACTTATAACCTCTTGAGCTGCGAACTTCGTCAGATGGATTGTCTTTTAGATCTGGTGATGCACCTATCGGTATAACACATCGTATAATTTTTTTTCATTGCAACTTTTTTTTTGCAACACTACGAAAGGAAAATGATGTCGTTTGAAAGACACATTCCTAGAAGGGCGTCTTTTGGCGGCAAAACATCCACGTGTTTACGGGAACCTCTCATATTTCGGCGGATGGCAACACGATCACCGGTCGCGAGATCAGTGTCATTATCGTCTGGTACCCACAGACGCGATAACAGAATTCTCTTTCGGATATCAAGTCCAAGCGGGGTAAGTTTCTTCTTCCATTGATTATTAGGTTCAGTAAAGACCGAATCAATATGAACAGGAATGATGAATCAGCTTCGAATGAAAAAAAGTACATTGAAGTGTATCACATATGATGTATTTACAGTGTAATCTGTTTTAACGGTATATTATCCCGGCCTGACTGTACATTTTTTTTAAAAAATCGTTCATGTCAGTTCCAGGGCTTATCAGATGCCCACCGAGTATCACGGTTTTTATTGTACCGTTACAGTTATGCACACATTTTTCACATTGATTTATTTTCCTGGTATCTTTTCTGTATTCATGATAATGAATATAGGTTTAAATCAGCTTATGATACTTTAGGACAATCAAATTTTATATACCCATCTTTAAAAGAAAGGGCCGGTTTCCAAAACGGCCCCTTCTCTGATTCAAATTTCCTGTTGGTGGTGCATTGCCCATGCCGTTGTGGTCACAAATCTATAAAGTATAAAGATTTAGGTCACTTGGTTTGTTTTTTATGGCTCCTCAAAGTTGTACCTTTCAGAAGCTGTCTAAGAGTTGATAAAATGTGCATGTTATGTAAAATATTAATGAAAATCTAATTAAATGATAGTCACTGTAAAGAATACATTCATGGCATGATTGTGACCAAAAATCATGTTTCCATCGCGCCATTTGGCTGTTTTATGGAAGAAACAATCTCAAAAATGCCATTTTCGATGATAACATTTTAGACACAAAAACTGTGTTTTTTAGAGAATACACCCTTTTATGGGCGTTGGATGCAAACCAATTTTTATCCTATTAAATAGTACGTAATATGCTATTGATGAGAGGAAAAATCATCAAAATGTAAGTGGTGGAACATTTTAAAATGTTGGGTTGAATTAGCCTATGGTTGAATTGCCGATTTTCGACTTTCTTTAGATAATTAACAAAAAAACGAGAGTATTTGCTCGGTATGTTGAGAATATGTACACAGATATGAAAAAAAGTGAGAGAAACACTTTTTCATAAAAAAATCCAAGATGGCTACTTCGCAAGTCCCCATGGTTGAAGACATTGGCTGACAAATAGACAGAACAACAAACAAAACGTGTTCCTCATGATTTTGGTTGGTTTTCGCATTTACGAGATTGTTCATAGCTACCGGCGATTGTATAATACCTATATTTATAAGTTTGGTTAGTCACATGGTAACGGGGATCTTTCATATCGAGCCCAAAACATACTTTCGACATATGCACTCTGTTGCCGCATGGAAAACTATTTCAAGTTTTGTCGGAATTTCTTTACCTGTGGTTGTAATGGTCGAGGGTTTTCCAGCGTCCTGTAATACCCAAGGTAGTACAAGATACTGGAGATGTGCGCACACATTCCCATCGTTCTCTCTCCAACTGGGCACTGGCAGTAGTAGTCCTTTATTGGGGCCTCAACATCGGGTGAAACGGTGAACCGTATCCAAACGTTATATTTCGTTTGGCTTTTGTGTCGAGAATGTATTTGACATCGGAGAAGGTCTGGGGAGTGCTGGTTAAAGCCACACCTCATAGTCGCCGTCATCACTTAAATGTTCGGCGATGTAACCAGGAGCCATAGATATCTGATACGTTCCACACGTAATAGTTCTCAAGTAATCAAGATCGAGACGGGGAAACAGTACTTTATTTATTTATTTATTTTTTTTTACACATCATAAAACTGTCATGAAAATATCCGCTCTGATATTCAATATAAAAGTTTGTATATAATAAGCTATATAATAGGGTTTCAGACAACGTTGTTACTAATTTCCCCTTTTCTTTCAATATACAACCACATTCAGGCGGCGATATGAGAACGTTCCACCACCTGGAATAAGCTTATTTTTGGTACACATATGAAACAAGTAAAGCTCTATCCGATTTTCTGATGGAAATTTGCATCCAAAACTATATAACGAGAGAAAATTGCAAATTTATGGTATTTTTCTTCATAATTGTGTCTCTGCAAGTGCATTTTCATCCGAGAATATATTTTTTTTATGTTTTATGAATAAACAGGATGTTTTGGAAATATTTACCAAAAGAAATTTATACTATGTTGCGAATTACAATTTCGAGATAACCTTCTTTTATTTACGAACTTATGTCTTTGATGCTGAAATTGACAACTTTATAAAAATACATTTTCACTGAAATTATGAAATCTGGGTGTCGGAAAGGTGTAAAATTATTTTTCGGAAAAGAAAAAAACAGTAGTTGAGCTAGATAAGAAATTATACGGGGGCAGGCTCCTATGGAGAATTAACATTACTGGAAACAGGCCCTTTTAAATGTTCCGGTCAATATTAGGTTATTAATCATCCCTTTACTACGTGCCATTTTACCCACAACACCCTAGTCAACATGGATCCGTTGTTGTACACTTCCTGTTAGTTGTCAACCCTGTTTATTCCCTTTTCCAAGCCTCATTTCCCCTTTGTATATCCCGAACAATGGCAACATGACGGTGATAGCAGCATGCAGTCGCTTCCTGCGCCGGTATCTGTTCTGCCAGGAAGCATTGATCTTCTTAATTTTATTTGTGATCGTCTACAATTCTTTGTTCCACGTCAAGCCAATATGGCGATATTTTCAAAGGGCAAAATTGAAAATGCAACTCCGATGGAACGGGCCGAACAACACATATGATAAGGTATGCATTGTTGTCGATAAAATTTTGGAATTCCTAAGCTAAAACCTGGCTAATAGTAGAAATTGCCCACGTGATACAGGTGGATATCCGATTTCTCATGGACAGGTTGGACATGGAGTAAAGCATTTAGTTTGGTTTATTGTTGCTTTACGTCATCAAACAGACAGGGCCAGTGTCATTTAAGGACGTACTAGGTGTGGGTGTTGGAGGAAAGCCGGAGTTTCGGAGAAAACCCACCGACCTGCGGCCAGTAGCTGGCCATGTAGGTCTTGAACCAGCGAGCCAGTGGTGGGCTATAATGATAACCTTAATCCCTTGTAGGATTCCGCCTAGGAACTCATTTATGTTGGACGTTTGACCTTGTGCTTCATCGGGCAACCCTGCATATGGGAATAAGTCATGCATATACCACCCTCGATACTCCAGGGGTTGCATTCACTTTCACTCTTCAAAATCGAAGGTTCCATGAACGACATCTTGTAGACAAGATGAAAAGACTTATTTAGTACTTTGATTTACATCAAACAAATCTCAAGGTTGCAAAACCCAAGGAGTATTGAGGATGCTAAAATGCAGGGTCATTTGAAATAGAAACACAAAATTCATTTAAACATTTGCATTGAAAAAGGATATATATCTTCATTTACTTATAAGTCAGTTTCATACACCATTGAGTCATATCATATGGATTCCTTTGACTCCTAAAATTAGCATTACTGTTACAGCATTAGAGCTTTAAATGTATACGAAATACAGAACAGTTTGGAAAACATCTTATACACATCAAGCTGTTTTTTTTTTCTTTTCGTGAACAACAAGAAAAAGAACATATTGCTAAAACTGAAAATAGTTTGGTATACTCAACATGATAATTCTGCAGTCTTCTTGGACATTGATGCATTGAACAATATACAAAACATTTATTAGCAATATTTTACATTAAAAGTGCATCTGATAAGAATATTTAAATTCAATTACTGATGATCAAATATCAATTTAATGTCATTATTTTCTGTATGGTCACAGGGTCCAGCTTCTTTAAGTTATCCTGAAACTGCAGAGAGGAAGGCCTCATGGGATTTAAGGAAACAAAATGCAGCAGTATATGCGATTCAGGGACGACGCCCACACATGGAAGACAGGTTCAACATTGTCAGTCGTTTAGAGCACACAGGCACATCTATTTATGGAGTGTTTGATGGACATGGTGGAGAGGTTAGTACTTGTATATCACTTATCAAACAATGGAAACATTGGTCTAATAATGATGATTGATGACAATGAAGGAATGTTTAGACTGATTAAATAAGTGCCATTTTCTGCTATTTTGAAAAAAGAAGTAAAAGAATAAATTTGTGTCATATCTTCAAAAATAGCATGGCAAATAACACTTTTTATTCAGTTGCAGTATACTGGTGAAAAGAAAGCCAAGTACATACATTCCATTTATATACCAGTTAGATAATATGCTTACTTACAGCAATTGTTATATCAAACACTCATATAGTGTCATGTTTACAGAACTAGTGTTTTATTTTTGTTTATGTAAACAAAAGATGATTGCAAAGTGCATATAAAACTTCTATTCTCATTTTCTCCTTGTATATATAAATTCCTTATAGATGGTTCAGATGATAATTGTTTCCTTACAAAGGTACTAATGCCTGTGTGTTGTTTTCATACATGTACATTTTATAATTTTTGTTGAAATATTTGTAAAACTTTCTAAATCATATAGATATTATTTTTTCAGGTTGTACAATGTTTAATTTTTTTTTAGAGAGAATACCAATGAACATCTATAAAATCACATGTAAATCATTTAGTTTCTGAAAATCAGGTTTTCTTAAAATAAATTCTTTATTTATTTGTTTAGTTTGCTGCTGACTTTGCAGAGAAGACCCTGTTTAAAAGCATTATGATTCGGCTGTTGAAGGCTTCTCTTGATGAACAAACAGAAAATTTTACTTCAATGCTCACACAGGAAATGCTGAACGTTGATAACCAACTTCTGGACATCGCTCGCTCAAACATGGATATCTCAGGTATATATCTTAAAATCTCACTGCTGTACACTTGAGGTGAATCAGCTATTTGTAAGCCCGAGTTAGGGTGGGGGCACATTACTATTTGTACTTATGCAAAATCAGGGGATAGGTTAATTACTTGAATAGGAAATAACATTGGCTTTGTTATTTACACAGCAATAGCCAGACTTGATATATAAGATACCTTATAAATTAAAAAAAAATAGCCTTACTTCATGATTATATGTTGTAAACAGTACCATCCTACTAATATTGTACATGTCTGATAGATAAAATGTAAATTCTTTTAGAGAAGTAGCTTTCTGGGAAATGCAATGGTATAGAGCCTGAGGATAAGTCATAATGTGCATCAAGGAGATTTTGACATTTTTGTTTGATAGTACATGTTGTTTTGTTTCATTGATGAATATTAAGCAGACGATTATGTAGGTGTGACTGTAATGAAGCTTGGAACAACTTTTCACTTCAATACCTGAATCATAGATGAAAACAAATAATTCATGTAGGATTGGCTCTTAAGTAACTTTTATCGGGGAAAGATAGAAAAGTTAATCTTACAAGTCATGTAGGTAATGAGATACTTTAGTAGGTAAAACTTGTCATAACATTTACTTGTGTTGTTGTGAAATATCAACAGGATTAACCGTAGTCAGTTTTAATCAAATTAAAATTTAAAATTAAAAAGTTATGTTACATTATATATAATTTAAGGAATATTTTTTGGAAACTGTCCAATGATTATGGCAAAAATTTGTACCAGTGTAAAGCCAATAGATATGTTGTACTATGGAGGCTGTAATAAGTTTCCTCATTACAGGTTCTACAGCGTTAGTTGCTCTGGTGAAGGACGGTAAACTGACTGTGGCAAACATTGGTGATTCACGAGGTGTTCTGTGTGACAAAGATGGCAGAAGTATTCCCTTGTCATATGACCACAAGCCTCACTCGGTTGGTATATCTCTAGTATAATACAAATGTAGTCCATATACTTTACCAATACTTTTTGGAGCCAAGATTTTTTTTCAGTTGTGGGATTTCATATTATTTACTTTACCCTGTTTCAGTAAATAACATGTAGACAAATTTAAATAATAAAGATAATTGATTGTTTTTAATTTAAGAGGTAGTTATTTATCTCTTCTGAAAAAATACAGCAGTGCAATACAGGGTTATTGAATGAAATTCCTTCCAATGAGCTTTGATATATCATATATAGTATATAAATATTTATAAATATTTCAAATATTTGTTTTGTCTATCCTCAACATTTAGTCTTATTGCAAAATGTGTGATATTGTTAAATTTCAGGTAAAAGAGAAGAAGAGGATAAAAGAAGCAGGAGGTTTTGTGAGTTTTAATGGTGTGTGGAGAGTTGCTGGTGTCTTAGCAACATCTCGTGCACTTGGTGACTACCCTCTCAAAGACAAGAATCTTCTTATTGCCGAGCCAGACATCCTTAGCTTTGATTGCAAAGAAATACAACCCCAGTTCATCATTTTAGCTACAGATGGATTATGGGATGTGTTTGGTAACCAGGAAGCTGTGGATTACATCAAAGAGAGGCTACATGAGCCTCACTTTGGTGCTAAAAGTTTAGTGCTGCAGGCATATTATAGAGGATCGCTAGACAATATATCTGTGATGGTTGTAAAATTTGGTACAAATTCGGATCTGTTACGGTAGTTTTGGATAAAAAATTAAAGACTAAAATTATTTTAAAAGTTACGTCCATGTATGTGTTCAAATAACTGATGTCATGATCTGTCCGTTTTGATTTTGAAAGAACAATTTATTTCAAATTTTATTTTATAAAGTGCTGAAATTTCGATTTTTTAAGACAAGAATTATGTTTATATAGATGCAAGTTATGTGTGTTTTGTTGAGGATGATTATGAATTTAGATTTTCAACTTTTAATGTGAATTTTCTGATGTAATGATTTTGCTTATTAAACTCCCAAAAAGGTTCAAAGGTTTTGAAATATTAAGCATTTTGCGGATCACATGTTGATTTACTGGAGCAATATAGAATTTCACTATTCTCAGATATTACATTGATCATATTAATAAAAAAATATTTGGAAGAAATTGATTAAGTCAGATTGAAAACTGCTTATTAAAGATGAATTTGCCTCAAAAGACACCTTTAGTGTATTTCTGTTCAAATCTGAACTAGTGTATTCGAAAGGGAGACAACCCTGAATTTGGCAAGATTTTTTGTTATGAAAATTTAATATATTGTAAGAAACCAAAACTTCAGGTTAACAAGATAAAACTATTATGCTTTTATGCTTTTTAGAATCACTATTTACTATTTCAGTGTCTCTGTATTTTGTAGCCAGGCAACACTTACTTTGTAGAAAGGGCAGTTCCTATGGATGTGTATAAAGTTTTAGCATGTGTAAGCTGTAGATTTGTTGCAAATGCTATTTATGCAATATTTCTGTACTTCATAGCTTGTAGTTCTTATGATTTTGTAAAATCTTTCTTATTTTCCAAGGGACTAGGAATTCATTCTTATAATTTCTTAATTCATAAATCACATTTATTTAAGAGCAGGGTTTGATGTGAAATACAGAAATCATAACTTACTGTTTAATAGCAGATGTTATAAAATAACAGGAAATGTATTTATATTTATGATTGAAAGAGATTTTGTTTATTTATATTACATTAGTTTTACAAATAATGGCCATATTTTGATTTAGTTCAATAATGCATTGTCTTTTTATTGGTTACAAATGTTATACATCATATTGAATATGATTACCATTTATTTTAAATTCATTTGTAACTGATAACACTTGGGCATAGTAATTAATTGATGATACATAAAATGCCATTTCTTTCCTTTAAATTAACTCTTGAACTATTAGCTTTAATGTTATTTTTTTTCCATTTATGTTGACTGAAGGATGGCATTTATCAAGTACATTGTTGTCCTATTTTTAAAATGGTATTCATACATCGCAACATCCACAGTCGTAGGGAAAAATCCTGATTCAGCAAAAATAAATTTTTTACTTAGGATAACAGATTACCTTACATAACAGACTCATTGGTAACTGAACATTTATCAGATTAAAATCCACCTCATTGAAAGTTACAAACAAACAAAACAAAATAAACAAAAACAAGTTTGTTTGTTTCTGGGATTTTTGTCCCATGAACCAAAACAAGCAAAAAATTAAATGAAATTTTTCACAGGTGAATTGTTTCATTAATCAAAACAAGGGTTTTACCCAACATCAGAACTGCTGTCATCTGAATTCTCAATCCACCTCTTGTACAGTAGCAATTGTTTTGGATTCCAAGAAACTTAAACCTGCATCATAGTAAGTGTTGGAGAAATGAGTAAAGTTATTTACTAGATAGGTCACAGACAGAAGAGGCTTAAGCTGTAGCAAGTCACATTCATCTTATTTAAAATTTTTAATTTCTAAAATATTGACGTAATTGTGACTATAATTTTTATGTGTGTATGTATCTAAGATGTGATTCAGTGATTTTATTTTCAAGTTAAAAGGATTACAAGGTTTGTGGTGATAATTTTGCTTTAGTCTTAATCCCATCTGTTACAATAATCTATGCAGGAATTGGAATGAGTGATAATTTACTTCAATGAATATTTTCAGTGCAATGATACTGAAATAAAAGTATAATGTTGTATGCCTGTATATAAGTATATATATATGTTAGGGATGTCAATTTCATAGAAATTGCTATTCATATACTGGTCTCATTCAGTATTCAAACATTCATTGATATTCCTAATATATACATGTATATATATGTGTACACACATATTTATATAAATGTATATATGTTTTTTTATTACTATTATTAATCTCATTTACCCGGCAGTAAGCCCAGCGGCCAGATTATCAGTGTCAGAGTCAGTGGTGGGCTTTTACAGGTTAATGATTCTACTGAGCAGCAGCATAATATGTTGAAGGGCTTATTGCCAAGCATGGGCTTATTACCAGACATGGGCTTATTGCTGGATGGATATAGTAATTAGTTTGAGATTCACCATTCCTTATCAAATGATATGTACTTAGCTGTGTGATATATTGATAGTTCACAATGGAAATATTTGAATACAGAATATTTGGGTGTATTTCATCTGAATTTTTTAAACATATGTTTATGTTGTCTGTAAGTGTTACGTTTTTCAGTATGCATATTTCTGTAAACAAAAATTGAATATTTAAGAGGAGGTACAATGCTATAGTGGACAGTAATTATTTTTATCGTAAGGACAACTGTCTCAGGTTTTGTTTTACTGAACACCAATGTAAATAAATGTTGTGAAGATAACACTTTAGTACTAAATTACAAATTGATTTTTTAGTTAATAGTTGGTGCACAATTATTTAATTGTTAATTCACTTAAAATATTTAGTCTGACTCATTAGCTTAATGGTTAATCATCATTCTACATGTTGACATCCGGAATTTTTTTTTTGTATTTTAAAATTAAATGTCTTAAAGTGAAAAACAAAAATACTTCTTAAAGTACTGCGATAAATATGTTCTGTCATAATTTTGATCTCCCATCCTTTTTATTGAAAGACAAGAAATAAACAGAGTATATTTCCACAAGAAATCTTGTATGAAATACTTGTTTAGAATGGACAAACATACCATAGCATACATTAACATTGTATATTTGTCTGTCACTTATTCTTTCAACACTTTGAGTCTTGTAGATTCTTTTAAGTCAAATATAATGTGAATATAAATAGAAAATGTATTATACATGTAAGATTGCAGCATTTGTGCATATATTTGTGCAACAATTGTATATGTATGTGTGCAGAAATTGTGCATGTATATGTTCAGCAAATGTGCATGTATGTGTTCAGCAAATGTATTTGTGCAACAATTGTACGTGTATGTGTACAGAAATTGTACGTGTATTGTGCAGAAATTGTGCGTGTTACTTTGATATGATTTGTGTGTGCTGTTGATCATATAGATATCACTAATATGTGATTTTATGCAAAGTACTTGATACTGCATGTTGTTGATTTTTTATTGTTTACCGCATATCAATTACCACTTGTTTATGCTGATTGTAATTACATCTCGTGTGAATTAGATGCAATACTAAGCAGTGCAATATACATGTTATATATATTTTTCTCCATTAAGTGTAAGTATAGTTATTTTGTGGTTTAATTTTATCAATAAAGTCCTGTCATGCATGTAAAATAATGAATAAAAAAATACTATTAATTCCATATTATTTTAGAAATTTTTTGTTTTTTTTATTACTTTCAAGAAATTTTTTTTAGATGCTTTTATTCACAGTAAGATTTTGAATTTAGAAAATGAAACTAGACGGCTGTGCAGCAGTAAAGTATGTATATATATTTTCTGTTGTAGGTACTAGAATCTATTTATGGACACTTACACACATTCCTCATTTGGTGTCCCCACTCTCAGTTATCTCCCTTCTGTCTTGCTAGAATATTCGTCTACCAGATGTATTTTGATGCATGAAAAAAGTGAACAATTACATGATTCTGTCCTTAAATATTCTCAGATCATGTATTATTTACATCAGAAACTCATATATGGAAATTTAAAATTGGTGACTTGTATTAATTAAAGGGTGCAAAACTCTTTGTAACTCAATAGTCATTAGGCAGTTGAATGCAAGAAGATTTTGGTTGTGTTGTATATCAGATAAAGTGTACTGTTTACGATGTGAATGAGTGCTGCCATACTGGGTGTATACCTTGAATGCAGTCCTTCATCTTATATGTACTTTTAATCTGAAGGGAAGTTGATTTCTGAAAATCACCATTTCTCTTAATTCTTCAAATTGATTCAATTCTTAAAATAAGTGATGGGAGATTTACATGATGAATCACATTCATTTGGAAATCATTGACAAAATAGGAAAAAAAAATAGAAAAAAATAGCATAATACATTATGGAATGTAATTTTTTGGTGTGTTTATTGTTAGCCTATGAAGCCCATTGCTTGTACAATTTTTGCCAAACTGTGTTTGACTGACTGATATATCAACAGATAATCTAATCTGCATGATAAAATATCCTTAAGTTTGGTAAGACAAAATGTAAAGTAAAAATACTTTGGTTTTTGGTCTGTTAAGCTTTTTAGAAATTTTTACACAAAACTGCCTGTAGATAAAATGCATTTGGTATTTGAAATAAAAAAAACCTACACAGGAATTGGTATTTTGTGATAGTAAAAGATGGATAAAAAAAGTCAGGCATGACTGATAACTGGTCAAATAAATACATCTCATACCATATAATTATTTCCTTTAGAGAGCACACATATATTGTTATTGCTAAAAACAAATTATCACTGGAAATTGGCAGTGGATATACTTGGTGTGTTATCTTTGTCTCTGAAGTCGTAGTGACTTAATTTCAGTTCATGTAAAAAAACATATAATTGAAATTTTGAACCTTTTCCAACAACAAAATGAAAGAAATATTATCACTAATTTTAAAAATTGATTTCTTTGCTAAATTTTGACAGACATGTTTATAATTGTGAATGGGCACTGTTTCAGATTTGATACTTCTAATTACAGTAAACATCACAATATATCATAAGGAAAGTGGACTGGAGTTGAAAAATCATGAATCATTAACATTTTGTGATGGCACCAGTTTACTGTTACAGTCCTCGTTAGGCTTTTGTCATATACATACACCAGGTGTTGTAGTTAAACTCCTAGATATGTCAAATTTTGTCCTTATCAGTGGTGTAGGGCAT